TATATATATATATATATAACCCTTTTATTATATCTTATGGGCAAATTAGAGAATTTCTCCCATATTCTGAACTTTCCTCTCAAAATAAGACCATAATTAAAAAAAATCTTTTAATAGATCATACTAGATCTATTCATGTCAGCAGAATAGATTCATAAGCTAATCATGTTTATGAATGAATAATACATGGATGGGTATAGATATGCATATGTTTAGATACTTGAAAATATATGAATGTGTGCCTGTACATTTGGGGGGAAGCTCATGTTTGCACATATTTGTATAAATTAGTACCCTTTGGCCTCAAATCAGTTTTGCTGTCTGGTCAAAAGGAAAGAAAAACAGGCAACCAGAACTCTACAACTTTGTGTTGTTGACAGATGTCACTTAAAATTGAAGCAATGCTTTCTAATAATAATAATAAAGGAGGTGCCACATGCATTATCTGAGTGGCTGTCGAGTGAAATGATCTACCTTGCTCTAATGAGCCCCCATGGATCTTGGAGATGCGAGCTGTATTGACATGCACACTTAAGCTAATACACCTAGACCAGTGCCTCCAAGCTCTAGCAGCCAGGGATGCTGACAGAATATCTCGCTTCCATCTTCAAAGAAAGGAAGTGATTAGTATGTTATCATTACCATTCAAAACGTGATTTCCTTATTCCCTCCCGGCGTAGGTGACACATCTGAGATGCGGCCAGACGTTAGAGGCAGCTAAAGCCACATCAAAGCTTTCCTTGAAAATTTTTTTGGGGGGAAGGGTTGGGGGAGAGGGAATCATTAAAACAATGCATTTAGAACAGAGAGACAGGACCTGATGTGAAGGTCAGGGAGCTGCAATAGCAGTCTATAATAATTAATAGATTGTCTCATATACAGTGAAGAAATTAAGAGAAATATTATCCCTCCCACTAAAAAGAAAAAAAACAAATAAAGTGGAGAAAGGAAGGAAAAGGCCTCTTATGTCATGAAAAAGCAAAATTATTGAAGGCTGCAATTGAGAGGAAGAAGGGGAACAAAGTTCTACGTTTTTGGCACTGATGACTCTTTAAATAAAATTAAATGCTACTAAAGCTTGCCAAAAATAGCTTATTTAATTCTGATTCTCACTACATATAGGTTCTGGGAGCAAAGATTGCTTTTCCCTCTTCTGAACACTGTTTTCTACCCAAACAAAGGACTTCAAACTGCTGATTCTAAAAAATAAATAAACAAATAAATAAATGAAAATATATGTATATATCAGATCTGAAAAGGCAGGAGTGAATCTGAATTTTAATCCAGATGAAGATGATTTGCGTTCATTTTCACACTGTATGAAATCCTAAATGCAAAGAAAATATTTAGCTTAGTAGAGGAAAAAAACACAGACGACACTAAAATGGGTATTCTACTTATATGCTAATAAGTGATGTAGGAATTAAACTATGCTAATATATGTGGGAAACAAAATACTTAAATGTGGAATGATTTGGGGGATTCTAGGACTATTTTAGGAAGAAAAATTTCTAAAAGAACATAAAGAGATGCATATGCCTAAATAATGGAAGTAACTGATTCTTCCGGAGCGGCATTCGATTTTATCAGAGTCAATCTGCACCCAAGAGGACTATCAGTTTACCAGCAGCTTTACAGCAGGGTTTCACTTTGTATTTTGGAACCTCTTCACTTAAGTCAAACTAAAATCAAGTTCTTGTAACAGCTGCGCTATTTACATTGTTCCCTCAGTTGTACATGGCCCTGGTTGCGTAAATGAAAGGAAATACACTACAGTAGCAGCTGTAGCTTTCAACTTGCCCCACACTCCATCCCAAACTCATTCTCTCACCCTTTTCTCAGCCCTTTCAAAGCAGGTGAGTGAAGCTGTGCAGAAGCTTCAGACGGAGCTCAACTTGTGTGAGGAGCTGTGTAAAGTGGAAAGCTGGGGATGCAGGATTCAAACAGTTCAGCACAGCCAACGCCAGATCAGCCTCTGCACTACACCCCTGCCTCCAAGCATGCCCCCAAAAGAGCATCACAAGGAAGCACCGGGCACCCTTTGTCTCCAAACACAACACAATATTGTATTTTGGAACAGATGGGTGCTTGTCTTCTGAACACAGGTGCAAGTAAGAGATCGGGGGTACTGTTCACTGTATGTTTACAAGTAAATCCAGACAGAGAAGATGCCTTCTGAGCAAACCACATGCAATCTCAGTGGCATCATCATTATCTGTAAATACCAGTGCTACGTCCATATCAAAGGCTATAGAGAATAATATTCCAGAGCTTATTGTTCTATCAATAGAATTCTATAATTCCCCTAATTATAATTTGATCACAGAACAGTTTTAGAATCATAAAGTGTGGAACCAAAATTGATGGAACTGTTACTATAGACAAACAAGAGAATTAAGCTACCAAAAGCAATAATATATTTAAAGAGATGTGGATGTGATGTTTTCAGCTTATTAAGATTTCTAACTCTACAACATGCATTTTAACAATAACCCAACAAAAATATGCTGATCATAATAAAACACAAGATTCCACTTATCGGATCTTGCCTAAATTCAGGGGCAAGAGCTTTATAGAGTTTCTTTGCATGGAGATGTTCAAATTTATGATTTGTTTCATCAAAATTTGAAAATTTGGATTCCTCAGCAAAGGGCAAGAATATGCAAATATACAGAAATAGTGTATTTTGCAGAGAAAAATGTTTTCTCATTCATTCAAAGAATAATCTCATAAATCAAAATTGTAACTAATTATATTGACTACACACACACACACACACACACACCTGCTTCCATGTAGGAAAGGAAAAAATCCACAGAAATATGAGAGAAGAATTGGTGTAGTTTTTCCTTTGGCTTATATATCATGACTATTTTAGCTAAAAGATGACTTCACTAATGCATTTTTAATCAGCAAAGCTGTTAAAAAACACTACTTTTACAAGGCTCCAAATTAGCATTTACATCACCCACAGAATAGTTGCCCACCAATAAAAAAGAAAAAAAAAAAAAAACTTCTAGGAAAGCCTTAATTGATATAGTCAAGCTAAACTCAAAAGTAATCCAAACTATTGTGATTGCTATAAGCAACTGAAGTATTTTTAACAGCAATATAGTCTGTTATTATTTTTGTCCTAGTAGGAGAAAAAATCAGCATCACTAAATTAAAAAAAAATCATGTAACTATCTCTAAAAAAGAGTTCCAAAGTATATTTGATATGTTTAGCCTTATTGAAGAAAAACAACAAAAATCATTCATTCTTACAATTACTGACATTGCTGTAAATATTTACCAGACCACAAAAGGGAGGGGGCAGGGCAGCACAATCAATGAAACCCACTAGTAAACTCAGAAAAATGAGAATTCACTCAGGTGCTGTTTCCTATAGAAAGGAAAATGCTTAATAATGACACAAGCTCTGGCTGTTCTTAGGTATCTGTACCAAGAGAAGAGGGGCATTTACAATGTATGTGCTTCCCATGGTGCTTTATGTGGAACCCAGGAATTTGCGAGGGGTAGGGGGAGAAGGTGTTTATTTAAGAAGAGTTTTCAGGGAAGTAAATCAGAATCACAGTTTTAAAAAAAATGAAATCATAATAACTTCATTGAGAAACCAACACAAATAAAAGAAATTGGAAGTTAAGAGCTTAGAAGGCAAAAACTCTGTATAGTTTAAAAATATTCCTTTATTAGTCCTTTTTTTGTCTTTTGGTCTTAAAATATTAACTTCCCATCAAAGTCCACAACCACCACGGTCCCTGTAACCAGCATGACTAGAAGGTAGCTGCTTGCAGAAGATGGTCAGTGGAGAAGATTTTTTTGAATCATAAAGTCAATAGCTTTGCTATGTGCAGCTTTTCCTAGAAAAATTAATGCAAAGATTTAGAAACTCGGTTTTATAAGGAACAGTAGAATTAAGGAACAAAAAAGCAAGCTAGGAAATACTTACCTCTTCACGTAATTTTATCAACTGCAACATGAATGCACACAAAAAAAGATAAAGAGGGAAGAAATGTCAGGAAAGAAAGATCAGTTGTGTGACAGGATACAGAATTAACATTGACAATTTATCTGTTTACATGTTTAGCATTTAAAAATCACAGACAAACACATTAAAAGAACCTAAACACAGACTACATGCAGAGTGTTTTGAACGAATAAAGATCACTTTCTCACACTGTCACATTAAACAAAGAGAATAGTGTGAAATTCTCCTTTAAAGTACATCTAAGACACCATCATGAAATAAAGGGGAACGACTTCATAGAAGCCTATATTATAAAAAAGGAAAACAAGTTTACTGTTCCTCTCTTCTAAGAATGTACCATTAAAGAGGTTTTGTATATACAAGTTTTCAGGGTATTTCTGTATTCGGAACTTTGACAACTGATTGCAGATTTTTAACAACAAATGAAAATAATTAGTAGTTCATGTTTTGGTTCCAATATGTATTTAAAAGAACAACAACAACAAAAAACTGTTACATGGGTTAATGGCATACTTATACCCACTCTAGTAATAAGACTGAATTTGGAGGTAACATTTCAACTGAGAAGCAATGAAATTTTACATAGACAAGAATTAACGTCAAGATTTGTGTTTTGCTTAAAAGATACTACAAGCATGGGGCAAGTTTTTACCTTGCTTTTTGTTTCTTCATTTCTCAGCTGTTTTTCACTTGGAAACCGGCCATTTCAAAGCAAGAAGCCCTCTTACTACATTTGTACTGTAGTCTATTTTCACTGAAGTCAAAGAGAAACCCACTCTTCACTTGTTAGTAGATACTCCTGTGATAAAAATTTTAGTCCCCTACATTTTTCTATTTCCTGAACTGCAGCAGATAGAGCAAGATGTCAGAAGCTAGAAAAACCACACAGTCATAAATCTGGTCCATTCTGTGTATGTGTTTGACATTATTCTAAACCACAAAATTCACTGCACTGTTAAAATGACAATTTTTCTGTTCTGCAATGAACGGAAATTCAAACCCCTGTCATAAGAGACTATAAGCCACATTCCAGGTTTGAAATTTGCATCCGCAGCAATTCAGGACTAAAAATGATAATTTTTAAACATCCAAATATCTACAACATCTGTTACAGCACTTGACACATGTAGGCCAATAAATTAAACTATTGCTTTGGGAGAAATGTGCTATGAATTGTTCCCTGTAAGTCTCTTCAAGTATCATGTTTATTACAGTCCTGAATTCGCAACACTTGTGCTGTTTTTGTCCTAAATTCAAGACGAACAGTGTGCATTCCAGCTTATTTGATTATTTCATTTGTTCCAAGAAAAGTATTTCAAGTCCCAAAGGATGAGATTCAAAATTATTATAAACCCTTTATAAAAGAGTATAGACTTTATGAGACTTCTCAGCCTACATTTAACAAAAAAGGAACTCTGAATATCCTACTTTCCAAAAAGACAAGAAGTTGTCCTTGTTTTTAAATACACCCTTCTCCCCTCAGCTCTCCAGTGTGGTATCCCATCTCTCCAAATCAAAAGTGACAAATTCATCTCCAGAGGAAGTTAAAATTTAAACTAAAATACATGGTCTATCACATATTGGAATCTTTCTCTTTGCTATTTAAGCATCATGGGAGAAAAAGGCAAACACTAGGTCTCAGAAAGAGATGATCTGGGAATTGATCGCACAGCTCTTTTCTTTCCGGGGACCATTCTCCGGTTGACTATGATACTTAAAGGGCCAAAGTTTAAAACTACTCCTCAGCAATAGCGACCATTTGGGGCATGCCACCCTGCCATAATCAAGAGTGTTTAAAAATGCTACCCATTTGCTTTTTCAATAGGTTCCAAACAAAAACCATTCTATCTTGTTTGTGCTGCATGGCTGCATTCAAGCTCCACACCGGATTTGTAGCTAAGCTAGGTAATGGGAGGGTTTCTAATCTTTATCTTTTTTTGTTGTTGTTGAACTCAGAGTTATGCATTGAAGTAAACAAAAGATGGTCGGTTTTTGAAAATTAACAATGCTTTAGACTTGACTAGAAGTAGTGAGTTGGTTATTTTATCGAGTTACCAGCTCCATCATATGAGACATGAAAGTGTGCAAAACCACAATGTTGGGTTATAACGATCAACATCTCTTCTGAAACAAAGATTTTCCCCCCAATGCAGAATTTGATACAAGAGGTAATCTGTTCCTTTGTGGGCTGAAAAAAAAAAAAAATCTGGTTTACGCTGGTTTGAACCAGTGGAATCTCTTGTGGTTAAGCCTTCTGCTGTGACTAAAATCAAAACTGCACTGCGGAACATGTGAGGGTGGGTGCGCTGGGCGCCTGTGTGTGCGCACGCGTGTGTGTGTGTGTGTGTGTGTGTGTGTGTGTGTGATCACGTGACCCCCAGAACTACCGAATATTTTTTAAGGCTGATAATGCCACTGCCGTCTCTGTCCGCATACAGATAACGAATAAATGCTGAACTCTATTAAACGCCCTTTACACATTATCGTGGGTCGAACACACAATTTTCTGAACTTATGATGACAGTCTATTTATTTTGCTATAAACCCTCAGCACGTAACGAACAGATTTGTGCCTGGTAATGATCTACTCTGCCAGGGCTGTATGAAATGATACCGACCTTCTTTAGATCTTGGGGAATTAAATTGACCGACTTCACCCCCTGGTCTGCAGCTGAAGTTTGACACACTTTATGCACAGCAAGCCCAAATCGGAACTTAAGAGAATCTCGTATTAAAAAATTAAGCAATCCTTATCTGTTAAATATTGCTTTACCACAAAAACTTCCCTACATTGGGAACTAGTCCACCTTTTATATAGTGTTTTGAATCTTCTATTTAAGATTTACTCAAAGTCACTGCATCAATCTGATTTTGCATATGGCCACTATGAGACTCTTAGGGGTTCAAAACAAGAGCTTGGCACATTTTATTTGTCCCATTGCATTATTCCACTATGAAAATCCATATGGTTTTATTCTATAAGCTGTTTCTCTCTTTTTTTGAGAATGGTTCTCATGAAACGAAATCAAGTTAAGAACTATGAAGGTTTCTACTCTACAGCATCACTGCACCCAATAACTCAACTCTCAGAGAAATGAGATGCTAGCACTGAAAGCACTGACGTTTTAAAAGAACAGAAGGACAATGCTTTCGACAAAGTCCTTGGAAAGCACAGGACACCCTCAGCACTCACACGTGCAAAGACAATTTTGTCCCTGTTTTGTGAATCCATGATGAGATATATTTAATTGAATGAAATGGATATGAATCAGAAAAAAAATATTATAGAGGGGAGTTGATTTGGAATTAAACAAAACATGTAACAGAGACATTAAAGATGCATTTGAAAAATCCTCAGTGGCGGACACGCTGGCATTCCCAATAATGGCAGGGATGAGTACATGCACAAAAGTAAATTAGCATCATGGAAAGCAAGCTGGAAGGTGGTAACTATATATGTTTACAGTAGAGTTATGGATGTCTAAAAAGACTGCATACTAAGTGCCAGCATGAGAAATGACAGCTGCTGTATCCACATTTGTCTCAATCCTTACAGAGCAGCCACTGCACGGATGTGTGCACTGCACTGGAAATGGCTCCTCAGTGCTTCGCACGTCCGCAGTCACTGCTGGAAACTGTTTATTTTCTTATTTTCCCTTTATGATCGCTCTGTTTATTTGACTAACAGATATACTCTCGTTTGGGTTAAAAGACTATGACTAATTTTGCCTGGTTTTGTTTGTATCCAAGCTTTACCTGTATATTAGAAGTTTATCAAGATACAGGACCAGACAGTCTGAATGCCAACCTATCAACATTTAACCTGAGCATAAACTTACTTCTGGGTGGAAGATAGTGTCTTATAGAAAAAGACACTGATTGATAGATAAACCAACCCAGAAAAACCTATCCAATTAGCTTCTGATTCATAAAAACGTACATGAAGCGCCAAGTTAGATTGTTTCTTTGAAGAAAGAGCTTTTGTTTTGATGACTTCATGTGAATGAACTCTGATATAGAATAAAAAGATAATTCTGGTGGCCACACTTGAAACTACTGGCTAAAGATGTGCTTCAATGGGAGACGCTTCAATTCCTACATTATGACAAAGAGGTTCAACACAAAGCTAATGATTTCATTATGATAAAGAAAATTTTCTATACTTGGTAACAAAGTATCCAAAAAGTTCAACATGGTTTTAACTCTGACACCTCATTCAAATTTTAGGCTGTAAAATTCAGAGAAATAATAATCTAACATTTAAATATTCTGGTGACTGTGACTCACCACACTGTATTTATTGAAGTGACAATTCCTTACAACTAAACTTCAGGTTCCCCAAGCACTTTCAGAATTTATTTAAGTCCAGGGGAAATCTCTGAAGAATCACTTTAAAGTGACAGAAGTATAATTTTTAGAATTCAGAAAATATGAGTGCAAATCTATTTTTGTGGAATATTTTTCTTTAGGTATAAAAATCATATGTATATAAAGCTATATTTTAGGCACAAAAAATGTCCATTAAGAGAAGTGAACATGCTTTACAAAAAGGATTCCTGTCAGAGAACTACAACATCCATTACAATAAAGGAGCCTGAGTTAGAAAGGAATACCCCCTTCCTTTCTGTTTCTTTTAGATTAGGCAGCAGTTTCAAATGAGGAAAAGATCTACAGCTTTTTAAAGAACTGACATGAGAACTACGCATACACTTTTTTTTTCAGGAATAATAATGCTTTTTTACAGTAGATAGGGAAGAAAATTATGATTCGCTCATCCAGGAGGCATGAGCAATCCAAATCTCACTTTAAAAAAGGAAGAAAATATTTTTCTCTCATCTTCTCATTATTTAATCTATAATGAGTAAAGCTCCTTCATCACATCACCCTTTTATGTTTGATGTGCTGTTTTTTCCATTAGCCATGCTCACATTTCAATCACAGAAGTTGAAATCCCAAGTCAAATCTGAATGTGTCTGTATGTCTGAACTCAGGCTGGGAACATCCAAATAAAGGTGGAGGTAAGCATTTCACCAAAACCAACAGTCAGCTCAGTGATTCTTCTCCCATTTTTCGGGTGATTGGATGGGGGCCTTTATCATATTAACCTCATCTCTGTTTATGATATTAACATTATAGTAGCCTATAATTTAGTAGTAGCAAATATAAACTATTTGAAATGGTAAGTACAAGCATGTAAATTTTACAGTGTTGTATGGATATGTTATGTCTTGCTATCTAATTACAAGTTTGTTTTTCGAATTCAGTTTCACTTAGGTAAAGCAGTGATTCTTATAAGTCCTGCCAAAGTAACCTTAATAAACTCACTGAAGTCTTCCTAAGAAGTTCTCTATCATCAATCAGTCTTTAGGGTGATGTGAAATGCTTTAAAAACTATTTCTACACCAAAGTTCTTGAAACTTTTTTAAAAAAGTCATATATATTATACCGACCTGAATTTACACATGCAGTATTAATTCAAAGAAAGAAGCAGGATGCTAATTAGACTCATGACACTACTATATCATCCAATGAGAAATGACAGCCAAGTTGTAAGAGCCTTCTAAGAAGAAACTGCATGTTTTTGGTTTTTCTTTCCATGTAGATCTTAAACTGAAAAGACTTATTCTACTATGATTGTTATCACTGTTACCTGACAGAAGCAGGCCCTCTGTCTGGGTATCCACGAAGTCCTACACTGCTGCCTGACATTTGCATTTTGGTGAAATGTATTTTTAAGAAGCGACATAATAGGAGTCGGGACTGTGCTGTTGGATTTTGAAAGCTTACTTTCATTTGTTTTGCTGCAAGTGTTGATTTAATTATGCTGCATTATTATCAAAGCTGCATTATGTACTTTTTTATTCCTTTTACATGTGTTTGAGGTGAAGACCTCAGCTTTGTCTGCAAACAGTGTGTTTCAAGTTATTCCTTAAGTATTAAATAATAAAGAAAAGAGAAGAAAAGACTTTTTTTTAAAAGATAGCAGACAGTGATCACAAGGTAAAGGGTTAAATGTAAGATCTCCAAGAAACATTTTGAAGTTGATTAAGACTCCAGCTTTGCATTAAACAGTATCGCTTCCACATGAGTTGCTGCTAATACTGTTAAAGAAGCAGCTTGAGAGCCCAGTGTGCCTGTGACCTCCTTCACCCTCCAGCCACCCACCGGGCCCTCCTGATTAGCATTCTACCTGGTTCTCGGAGGAATTCCCATCATCCCCCAGGAGCTCATTCCGTACTTCGTCACTGTAGGCAATCCGTGACCTTTTCTATAAAACAAAACAAAAAGGGAAAGAGTGAGATGAACGTTAGAAAGTAAATGCTTCCAAGCATTATTGGTATCAAGGATGATCATCTCAAACCCTCGAGAGCCCCCTAATGGAAACCTACCGGTGAAACTTCGCAAACCAAACTCGTAGAAAGTTCCTGAACCTGCAAAGCTTAGTGAAAATTAGATGTTTTTAAAACTATCAAGAATGAAAGAAAAGTCTATGCAATGTTAGCATTCTATTAATATTCATAAGTGGATGAGAACTTGTATATTATTTCTTATATTATTGTTCAAATAAGACCACTAAGCTGGAAGAAACACAGCCAAGTGGCTGTGAAGCTTTAAAATTCATATCATAAATTGAAACAGGAGCATATGGGCATCTTTAATGGTGTAGAAGGAAATGAACAGAACAATTCAGAGTTTTAAAAACTTCACTTTAGGAAAATAGCCATATTGCCAACTCTACTCTGGGATGAGGACTGGCACAGCTATATTTCATTATTGTGATGTTACTATCCAGAAAGCAAAGGAACTTTAAAACCACCCCCTACCCAAACAGTAATTCAAATGTCTCCAACCCTTCTATTAATAATGGCCTAAGGGAAAGTAATGGAGGCACGCCCGCGCACGTGTGTGTCTGTGTGTGTGTGTGTGTGAAAGAGAGAGAGAGACAGAGAGAGAGAGAGACACACAGAGAGAGAGAGAGACAGAGAGAGAGAGCAAGTTAAATTTCTCAGTCCCAGTAAATAAAGACAAATGGGCTATGTGTCAACCTTACACTCCACTGAAATTATGTTTTACAAGAAACTTACCTTGAGCTGTACATCAGAGGGGCACAGCTAAGCCATCCTGATTATCTAAAGGCACACATATTTGGAAAAGCCAAGAGGCTCCGAAACTTAGTTGTGAAACTTAAATATGGTACTCGGTTCCTAGTCCATTGTCACTACTTCAGACCCACATTCAAGTTTACAAGCTATTTTTCTGCCTTCTCTGCTTCTCAACTAATTAAGCAAAAACGGTCAATCAGAAAGTGGTGGATGGGAAACAGAAATCTCCTTCTGACTGAGGTCCTACAGCCTGGGACATAAAAGTTCTTTCTTATTCGTCTGTGATTTGAAAGGAGCATTAAGTTTAAAAGGACTATCTGTAATCCATAAGCAGAAGTCAACAAACAGTAAGATTTCCACTAGACTTGTATAGCAGTCTTTGAGTAATAAAATACTGTTTGGTCACATACAAATCATAATACCCATAATAAGAAGTCATACTAGATTAGAATTTAAGAGGACAGTAAAACAAGAACAACTAATAAACTTCAAATCATCTTAAATAGCTTGTCTTTCTTAACTGGGGTGCCTTATCCAAACCACAAAACACAGAAAATTACTTTTTGACTATTTCCCCAATTCTCTCAAGGGGGGGGCACAGAAGAGAGAATTTGATTCATTCCATATAATTTAGTTTATTGCCTTTCTGGATGCAATTAAACAAATGATATGCTGGATCTAGCAGAGCCTAGTTTTAAAAGGCTTAATGGGATAGAAGTAAATATATGTACATATCTACCCACTTTTTTTTTTTGCTTGTTTTAGGGGAAAACACCAAGCATCACAGAACTCTAACTCCAGTTCTAGTTAAGTTGAAACTAGAACCCTGGGGTCCTGACACACAGCTGAGTGCTTCTTCTGCCTTATAAACATTCTTTCAAAGTCTATCACCTTCTGGATAGACTTGGGAAAATAACACAAGAACCGCACAATGTTTCAATATAAAGGAGACAGTGGCATCCCCTGCCTGCCAGAGTGTACCCTGCATCCTTTCCTACCACAAACATACATAATTTAACAATACGTCTATAAGAAGATAAATAAACTGCAATAACGTTGAAGGGAGAAGGACAAATTAGAGAGCTAAGTCTTCGGCACGTGGTCAGTAGGGATGTCTATATCTGATCTCTTAAAAATCCAGGGGTGACCCAACCCATTCATTTGTGAACATGCCAGACTTTTTCCCACCACAAATAGCAGATGTTACGCCTACTTCTCTTACTGAAGCTATTATTGATCACCTATTTCTATTGACTTCGTACAGAATTGTGTTTTAAAATGCTGTTACAAGGTCAGTCCATTTCATAGTCTTAATACAACATTTAAGTCACAACAAACCTTTCTTTTGCCCATTTGGAGATTCCCACCAGAGCAGTCTTCAAATGAGCTAAGCAAAAGTATTTTATAGCATTAAAGGAAATGAGAACCTTTAAGACAGACTGTGGTATCAGAGCTGCCTTTTTAATTATTCATTTCATCACTATGGGGGACTAAAACATCCCACAGTATGCAAGAGTATCACATGGAGATTGTTTTTGTTTTCCCCTTTTTCACCAAAACACCAACAAATTGGCATGGATTGTTCAATTACACTGCGTTCTTATTTTGATTTAGAGTACTTCAAAAGAAGAAGGAAATTACAAGTGTGTATTCCTAAATATCTGATCTTGTTTTGGTTAGAATGCACTGCTTTTGAAAACCACCAATTAAGAGGATACATGCTCAGCAGCAGAGGAGGATTTGGCTACAGCTGAAGGGGTGGTCTCTATGAATGCCATTCTTTACCATTGCGATGGAAAAAAAAAAAAAAAAACCCTGGTATTTGGATGGATTTTCTGGATGTTATTAAGCAAATGATATGCTGAGTTTAACAAAGTAGTCCCTAGCAGGACCGACCTAAAGAACGAAAAGACAGCTCGTTGCAGAATATCAGAAATAGCTCTCCACCAAAACAACAAATGCTGAAAACACAACTCTACACAAGAGTTTTCATTTCTCAAAAATATGCCAAGTCCAGACTGTGTTTTATTAAGAATTATATTTAGAAGCCCAAAACTGGTGTTTTCTCATAATTTCTCAATGTTTTGAATTTTAAGTAAGCTGACTGTATGTAATTAACTATAATTTAGTCTGCAAGATCATCACTGAATAAAGGCTGTAAACAACAACAAATAATGGGAAAATTCCTTTGAATGACAAGTAGCCGGTTTTACGGATAACTGTTCTCTAAAACATCAATAAATCATAGTATCTTATGGAATTTCAAAAAACCTCACATTGGATTATTAAGTACCTACATAATACATCAATTTAGAGGATTTAAAGTTAATGGAACTGAAACCTTTACTGTACCTTGATAAACCTAAAATATTTTTACTTTATTATTGAGTATAAAATCTGTACTTTAGCCAAATGCAAGCATGAGAATTTGAGCTGGAAATGTCACACATTCAGCTACAGTTTGAAGGAACCCAATTCATAATGCATTTTATAAATAGTTAATGACTTCTATACATAAGCTAACCAGGCAAATCAAGAAATTGTCAACATTTTTAGTCTTGGTTGTCAGTTACCACTGTCTACTGCTGCTCTCTGTGTGGCTGCAGGAGAAGTCCGAAGCTCTGTGCGGTTTGTAATCTACTGCAATTTCTGGTCTATACCATACAGATGGAAAAGCTTCAACTGACAATCTCTCTCTCTTTCCCTCTTTGTCTCTCTCCCTTTCTCTCATATACACGAGTTTAAGAATGTCTCTCAGTTTTAGTTGTGTTCTTATGTAAAGCTTATTCTTCCTAACATTTATACTTCATGAGTCAATAAACTTAGACACAGTTGAAAGAAATTTATAGAACAGTTAAGGACAAAAAATATGACACATTAACAATTGATTTGTTGCCCCTGAGAACTTAAATGAGTACAGTTTCTCTAGCTACTTTAAAACGATGAAGTAAGTCTTTCATTATGAAAGTGAGATTTTCAGATACAAAGAGATTATCCTTTATTCACTTGGTCAATATGAACAGGATGCTTGCATACTGATTGGCTGAGTTCCTTAAAGTCAATTTCAAAAAGAGACACTTGTTCAGTTTGGTCAAGAAATTTGGCTTGAAATAATCTACCTACTTGGCCTATGCTTTAACATTTCCCAACTGAGCTGAATATGTTTGTGCACAGGCATTGCTAAGTTAGAAACATGATGAATTAACTGAGTTTAAACTAATTAAAAACTGTGATCTCTGGTACCACCTCTTGTATGACTCTATACGTGAAATACAGTATCTGCAACCAGAATGAGGATTCTACAGCCTACCTCAAGCAAAAACATAACAATGAAGTTGGTTTATTACTAAGGCGTATATGAGAATTTAATTTCCATGGCGAGCACATGGCAAAGCAATTGCTTAAATTGCCTCACCTGGGAATTTAATGCAATGTTATCATCAGACCAGCCACATTGTAAATAGATTTATAATGCTTTCCATGTGCTGTACTCAGTTGCATATGAATTAAGTAATGATCTGGTATTACAATAAAATCAGCTAGTTCCCACACCTGGCAGACAGGATATTTCACTAAATTAATAGCCATACAGCTACATCACAAGGCATGGGAGAGGAAACAATCTCAAAAGCATTTGACTTGAGTTTTGCATGGGAAGCAAACATGCCATGGCTATGTACAATGTCACTGCGCTGAATGGGCTGCTCAAGACAATCTGTTTCTAACATCTGTATTACCGAATTAAGACTTTCTCGTTCCCATTCAATTTTGGCCTAATTTCCTTCATTCAGTACTCTAATTACTAATCAGCAATCCACAACATTCACAAACACTGAGAAAGCCCTTTATTCTAATCTATGTGCTGCAGACAGCCAAATAATTGATACAAAGTGCAGTGTGGTTTGGTGTGCAATGAAAGAATAGCTTGTCCCACTTCCTAATCAAATTGGTCTATAGAAGAAATAGCTAATAGATTTCTCCATCGTTCTAAAACAAATTACTCAGGCTGGCCAGACTTTTCCATTGCTTCTACCATGTTTTTTGGTCTCCTTATATTTAATAATGCCCAAGGTTACCAGGTGATAGACCTAGTAAAAACTGCCATGGCTTCAGAGCCAAAGAATTTAACTGCTCTAAAGAACTTAACTGCTTCAGTTCTAATTAA